GTATCTTGTCTATGGCCCCTTCCTGTCTTCTGTCTGGTTCCTAGTGACCCTGATGTGAACTGCTTTGCTCTCCCCAAACTTCTCTTCCAGGGTGGAATGACACCTCTGAAACCAGAAGCCGAAAACCAGCTTTCGGCCTTTAAGTTGTTTATGTTCTGAATTCTGTCACAGCACTGAGAAAAGTAACTAATGTGGAAGAATCATTTATTCTTTTCCCAGTTTTTGTTTGAGATTTGAATTTTTTGCTTGTTTGTTTGGTTTGAGACAGATTTCACATACCCCAGACTGGCCTTGAATTTCTCATTCCCCTGCCTTTACCATCAAAGTACTGAGACTACAGGTGTGTACTGCACTGCCAAGTTCATTTCAGAGTTTTAAAACCACTTTTACTAAGCTAGATTAGGACAGTCCTCTGCTAATTGCTAGCAGATGATTGTGAAAGGACAAATAAAGACCGCCAAAAGGCAGACGTAGCAACCGAGAAAAATCTATAGACAGCACAGGCATTTAAAAAAACACCCACAGACAGGCAGTGATTCAAGTGTCATTGAGAACAGGTGAAAATATTTTAAACATCCAAAGTGGAAAGGAAATGGGTAATATATGTGAGCATGATTTTCACCACAATAATTAAATTGGTGATTAAAGGAATAAATTATGCGTTTCTTTGATTTTTTTTAACAAGGTCTTCCTCTTTGAAAGTTAAAATATTTTTAAGAGGAACACAAAGTTATATGATGAATCGACAGAGGCATGTGGCTTTTAAACACCAATTCTGCTTTACAAATGACTATTAGTCTAATATAAAAAGCAGCCTACGAAAAAGTGTATTCAATTTTATGTTGTTAAATGTTGGGATATGGACTAAAGAGATGGCTCAGTGGCTAAAAGCATTGGCTGCTCTTGCAGAGGACCCAGGTTCAGTTCCCAGCACTCACATGACAGTTACCAACCATCCACAACTCTAATTCCAGGGGATTTGATGCCCTCTTCTGTCCTCTGTGGGCATTACACAACACAGGTGCACTTATATACATGCAGGCAAACACTCATACACATAAAAATAAAAATAAATAAATGTTAGGACATTTAATTCTTTAAACCAGAATAAGTGTACTCTGAACCACACTGACATCTCAAGTCCCTAAGTCCCTCATGCTAGGATTTGGGTCTATTAAAGAGGATCATCATCCAAACTACAATTAGAGACAACACAGTGTCCACCAGCAGCGCCCTACAATAGAGCTGTTGGTCCTCAATGTATTTTCCTCACTTTAAAAAAATTGTAAAACATAACTTGAAACCAGATGGCTAAGCAGAAGTGTTTTCCTTTACTCTCATTTGAAAATTCTTTTCATTTCGTGCATCTGTGGTATGTGTGTGCATGTTCAGATGTGTGCAGGTGGGCATGCACAACATGTAGAGGCCAGAGACTGTTATCAGGTGTCCTCCATTGCTCTTCACTTTATACACTGAGGCAGGGTCTCTCACTTGAACCCAAAGCTGGCCACTTTGACTAGTCTAGTGAGCTTGCCTGGGGATCTCCTCTCTCTGCCTCCCAAGCACTACAGATGGGATTACAGATGGGCTGCCACACCCACAAGCTTTTATGAAGAGTGCTGGAGATCTGAACTCCAGTCCTCATACAAGTGCTTTAGCTGATGAGCCATCTCAGCAGCCTCTGAAAATTCTAACACAAGGCAAAAAGAGCTCTTCTTCAGCTAAGTTACCTAGGTCCCAAGACCAAACCTCTGAAGCAAAAAGAGCAATGATAGCACAGTAAATTATAATTAAAAACCATAGTAGTCAATTACAAAATACAATGTATAAATCTTTTAGTAGTAATATCTAAAAGATTTCTTTACAAGCTATAATAAACTTTTTTTTTTCTCAAAAAAGAAAATCCAGAAGCTTGGGAAATGGCTCAGTGGGTAAAGTGCTTGCTGTACGAGAATGAGGACTCCACTTCAGATCACCAGCACCCGCCTAAAAAGCTGGGTGAGGCTGTGCACACTTGTAATCCCAGCACTGAAAACGTGGAAACTGGAGGATCATGGGGGCTTGCAGCCAGTCAGCCTAGCCAATCAATGAGCTTCAGGCTCAATGAAAGACAGTGTTTCAAAAAATAAGGTGACAGTGATAGAGGAAGACATCCAACATTGACCTCTGGTTTACAGGCATATACATGGGAGTGCATCCCAACACAAACACACACACACACACACACACACACACACACACACACACTCACCCCCCCACATACACACAAGGAAAAAGAAAGGAAAAAAAAATCCAGAACAGGAGTAGCTAGGTTTATCCTTGGGTTAATTCATCTGTCCAAAGATTACAGTTCTAATAATATGTAATAAAATCTAAATTAATAAATGTTGAATAGACAAGGGAACAGTACATTGTAAATACTTTAATATAGATTAATCAAATTTATTCATTGTCTGACATTAGAAATTCTCATGCCTTGAAGTCTTAAAGTGTATAATTTATAGAAAATAGTGGCTAGAGAGATGGCTCAGTGGTTAAGAGCACAGGCTGCTCTAGCAGAAAACCTGGGTTCAAATCCCCACACCCACATGATGGCTAACTGTCCATAACTCCAGTTTCAGGAGGATCCAACACCCTCTTCTGTCCTCTTTGGGCACTGTATGACATGGGTACACTCACATACTTGCAGGCATAAGAACACTCATACATATAAAATAAAAATTAATTAATTAATAAAAACAGAAAACATAAATGTGAAGGCATTTGTGGTTCAATGCTAAGAGTAAAACTCAAGGGCAGTGCTGCACACCGAGGAGGTGCACACCTGTCCTAGCAGTTGGGGAGGCTGAGACAGGAAGATCTGAATTCCAGGCCAGCCTGGGTTAAAAAGCAAGCCCCTGTCTGTTTCTGTCTCTGCCTCCTCCCTCCCATGTCTCTCTCACACAAATAATTGAAGTGAATATTTGTAGGTTAGTTTTTAATAAATTTACCAAGGAATAGTACCTTTATGCAAGGTTTTATACTTTTTAAAATGCAAAAATGGCGTATGAGTACAGAAATGCTCTATCTGCTAGATAACTAAAAATATAATAAACTAGTACAACTTTTGTGATTTTTATGAATTTTTTATGTGTATGGAGTGTGTCACCTGCTTGTGTGAAAGTGCACCTGTGTCGTGTAATGCCCAAGGAGGTCAGAAAAGGGTGTCAGATCCCCTGGAACTGGAGTTTTGGAGAGTTGTTAGCTGCCATGTGGGTGCTGGGAATCAAACCTAGGTCCTCTGCAAGAGCAGTCAATACTCTTAACTGCTGAGCCATAAATAAACTTCAGCCCCATAATTTTTTTTCATAAATAAATTTAAAAAAAATAATTCACCATATTCAAAATAAATACATACTGAGCTCATGTATAAAATGTCTCACTTTATTCACTTATGAAAGTGAATAAAAGCAGGCTACATTTATTAAATATTCAAAACATTAATATTTGTACTTAGCATTAAAAAGCATCAACTTTATTTAAAAAGAACTCATTTATGAGGTTTGTTTTAAGACAGAGTGTCATATTCCCTAGGTTGGGCTCTAACTAGCCTCATCCCACCACTTTCCAAGTACTGGGATTACAGGTGTGTGCCACTACACCTGTCTGAGTTCTTTTATTAAAAATAACTAAAAATCCAGTGAGCTGGCTCAGTAGATAAAGGCAGTTCCTGTCAAGCTTGATGCTCTGAGTTTAATCCCTGGGTCTCACATGGTGAAAGGAGAGACCTGACTCCTACAAGTTGTCCTTCACACACACTAAATAAATAAATAAATGCAATTTTTTTAAAAATTAAAAGAAGCAGACATGGTGGTGTGCGCCTTTAATCCCAGCACTCAGGAGGCAGAAGCAGGCAGATCTCTGCAAGATCAAGGCTAGCCTGGTTTACATAGTGAGTTTCAGTCCTGCTGAGGCTACATGGAAACCCTGTCTCATAAAGACCAAAAGAAGAAGAAGTAGGAGGAGGAGGAGGGGAAGGAGGAAGAGGAGGAAAAGGAGGAGGAAGAGGAGGAAGAGGAGGAGGAGGAAGAGGATGAGGAAGAGGAAGAGGAGGAGAAAGAGGAGGAAGAGGAGGAGGAGGAGGAGGAGGAGGAAGAAACCAAGTACACATTTTTGTCCTGATCCAGTAAAGCTATATTATTTCATTTAAACACTTTATCTTGGGGGTTGGAGAGATGGCTCAGCAGTTAAGAGCATTTGCTGCTCTTGCAGCGGACCCAGGTTCAGTTCCATGCACCCATATCAGGCAGCTCCCAACTATCCATAACTCCAGTACCAGGGGATCCATCCAATGGCCTTTTCTGGCCTCCCACGGGCACCTGCACACACATAAACATACATACACTCAGGCACACACACACACACACATACATATACAAAAAATAAGTAAATAAATCTTTAAGTACTTTATCTTGAAATTTCATCTTCTAAAATACAACAGGATCAAAGAATTAGTGAATTTAAGGGCCAGAAAAACCTTCAAGGTACATCCAGTGTAGGGGATCCCAAGCTTCTGCCTGCATCAGGAGGCCACATGATTCTTGTTAAAATGCACATGGACACGCCTCACTCTGTCCATCTGATTTCATAGGACTGGGATGGAGTCTACTGCAGCTCTGACTGAAATAACCAGTGAACCTCACCTCACCCCAGGGTGACTCATGCACAGGTGGTCCATAAGTCCCTAAGTGCAGGAAAGGCACTCCTGCAGACCATCCCCTTCCTAATCAGGAATCCTCTCAGGATGCCCATAACCCATGGAGGTATTTTCTACCTCAGATTTCTCTCTCTTCAACCCCTGCAGGTACTTCACTACCTCTTGGGGCCCTCCATTATAGAACTAATGGATGCTTCTGATGGGAAATGATGCATTGCAAACACAAGTTCATTCAACATGGGCTTCCACAAATATATCAGTGAAAAGACACTGAGGACACTGAAGAAGGAAAGGCATGACTCACCTGTTTCTTCTGGTATTTGTTAAGTAGTTTCAAAAACAAGGCATAACATCTGGAATAGCTGGCCAAGGCCGCACAGCAGTCACGGTAAGAGGTTAGTTTGCTGCAGAAAATACCAAATGAGAAAATAAGAATAAACTATTTTTCTTTAAAATTTAAGTACCATAGCATCACTTTAAATGCAGAGCTTGTCAGTTCATGAAAAGCAGCCTAGAAATGTTCCACAGCCTAGTCCAGAGAAAATGCAAGGAGGCTTGCTGTCTGCTCTAGGTTCAAGGGGATGGAGCAGGGAAGTTTTAAAAAGTCTTTAATGGGGCCAGAGATTTAGCTCAATGGCAGAACATTTGTCTAACAAGCAGGAGGCCCTCAATTTGGTCTCCAGAAAGGAGCAGAAATCTCAAGATGGTAGCATATCTATAGGGTGTGAGTTTCCACTTCTCCATGTGGCTCAGAAGCAGAAGCTCAGAAATTTGTGCAAGTATCTGACTGGGCAACCAAGAATCCCCTTGAACCCCATCAGAAGCAATGTAAAGCTGCTATAATTAACACAGCACTGGTAGTGTTACATCAGGAAAAATAGACCTTAGTTCAAGTGGCACTGAAAAGGTTCACACTTTCTAAAGCAAAAATGCAAAACCCAGAGGCAATAAAACCCATGTGCAGAAGACACTTGTAAATTTCTTATTAATTGGTCAACATGTAAAATTACCAATATTTTTCAGATTTAACTATGTACCAGGCCATAAGTAAGTCTCAGTACATCGTCACAGCAGTGGTATCTTTCAGACCACAATCTCTGGTCAGAGTGCAGCAGGGCATGATTGGTGCTCACCTATAATGCCAGCATACAGGATCTGAGAAGGGAGGGACCCTTGGGCCTGGGAACTTGAGAGTAACTGGGGCAACACAGGAAGACCACCAGATCAAAGGACCCTTATGCGTGTGAGTGGGAAAGAAAGGAGGGAGGACATTTAAATTAAAATCCAATTTAGAAGGTACATTTTAACCTTTTGGGTTTTTTTATTACACTAATTTATTTAGTTGTGTGTGTGTGTGTGTGTGTGTGTGTTCCATGGCATACATGTGGAAGTCAGAGAACAACTTTTGGGAGCTAGTTTTCTCCTTCCACCATGTGGATCTTAGAAATTAAACTCAGGTCGTCAGGCTTGGCAATAAGAGCCTTTACTTGTTGAGCCATCTTGCCAACCTTATTTTATTGTATTTTATTTTTTGAGACAGAGTTTCATGTAGCCCAGGCTGATCTCAAATTCACTATGTAACTGAGGATGACCCTGAATTCCTGATTCTTTTGCCTCCATCTCTCAAGTGCTGGGATTATAGACATGTGCCACCATGCCTGATTTTAAAGCCATTAATGTATTTTTCAATATGCTTTTAGAAATTTTAAATTATGTAACATATTTCAAAGAAATTCAGAAACAGAAAATTTAAAAATACATCTGAATAATAACAAAAATACTACAAATCAAATATTGTAAGATGCAGTTAAGGCATTATTCAGAGGAAAATTTAGAACCTGAAGGAGAAAAAAAATGAAAGGAGATGAATTTCTAACTGAAACAGAATCAAAACATAACATCTTCACAGAGAGTGGAGGAGGGGCTGATAAGGGTTAGAGTAAAAAGGTAGAAAGCACGCGGAGTAGAGAAGTACAGGTATTAGTTCTTTGCAAAAACTAAGAAGATCAGCAAACCTTTGGCACTGATCAAGAAAAAAAGCCATAAATAATCAAAACTAAGAATGAAAAGAAGTATTAACAAGAGGTCATATAATACAGGAGTAAAATGTGTGACTTCTAGAGCCAGAATATCATATGGCTTGAATTGCAGCTCTATGGCCTACTAATTGCCTATTAGGAAAACTACTACATTTCTCTGGGCCTCCATTTCTTCATATGTCAGATGAGGATAACAGTAATGGTGTCTATCTTATCAGTATTTGGAAGGTACTGAGAATACATCCCAGCACATAAGTACAAGTTTTTGTCAAATAAATAAAACTATATAATTAGTGATGTACCATAGATGAAAACAGATGCATTTTTAGATTTTCTAAATTTCTTTGTAAGAGAACATTTGGAATATTGATTGGTTGATAATTGATTGAGGTACTAGGACTGAACCTAGGGCCTTGCACATGCCAGGCAAGCATTCTGTCACAGAGTTAGAGCTATAGCGCCAACTGTATTTATTTATTTTAGAGACAAGATCTTACTATGTAGCCCAAGGCTGGCCTCAAACTCTTGATCTTCCTGCCTTAGCCTCCCAAGAGTTGGGATGGAACTGTTTAATGGTGTTTGAAAATTAAAAAAAAAAAAGAACAAATTCTTAAAAAAGTAGAATAAAGTAGAATTTTAAAAATGCTAGATATATAATCATTTAAAAAACGAATTAACTAGGCATAGTGCCATACCCCAGTAGTCTTGGCTGCTTGGGAGGCAGAGCAGGAGGATCACTTGAGCTCAATAGTTTGGGTTGGGACTAGTCTTGGCAATACAGTGAGACTCCCTTAAAAAAAGAATAAGAGTCGGGCGTGGTGGTGCACGCCTTTAATCCCAGCACTTGGGAGGCAGAGGCAGGCAGATCTCTGTGAGATCAAGCCCAGCCTGGTGTCTACATAGTGAGTTCCAGGACAGCTGGGGCTACAGGGAGACCCTGTCTC